GCCCAGACATTCTATGATTCTATAAACTTTAAATGCCTTGTTTGTGTAAAAATATAAATAGTTCTGTAAACCGTGTTGTCCAAGAAGTAGCCCCAAATGTTACACATTTGATTTAGTTCATGCTGGGTTTTAGGCAAAGAACCACCATGAACTCATATAAAAAACTTGTATGATGAGTTTTTCTTATATACAAAACGTCAATACCTTTGCAACTCTGGAATTATGTAAGATCAGATAAAAACTCTTCTGTTAAAATGTTTAAATTATATTAACATGATATGAAATAAGTCTGTATATTTGATATTTTTCTTCACAATTGGACAGGTAATTAATAGTTGGAATAGCTGGAAGCAATTAGAGTCCTAGTGTGTGTAGCACAGGGTAAATTAGAGTCCCAGTGTGCGTAGCACGGGGTACTTCTGGGAACATGGGGCGAACGTGTTTCGGTAGGTCAGGCTGGAAGGAATGGCTCCGTGGCAGCAGCCTGGCTGGCTCTGCCGGAGGTGCTGCCGCGCCCGTGGGGCACGCTCCCTGCGGGCAGGGACGTTGGAGCTGCTCTGCAGGAGCCAGGCCAGGCCAGCAATGAGCCAGGACTCGCAGGTAGCCCGTGATCCTGGCAGGTGAGGGCAGAGGTGCTCTCTGCTTGGTCGTCACTGCCCGGGCTCTGTGTGTGTTGGGTGTGCAGTGCTGCACTCAGCCTCTGCTCTGGCACCGAGAGAGACCAGCACTGCTTTCACCGAGGACAGTACACATCCACAGGCCAGAAACATGCATGTCACAGACAATGGCACGTTTTTGGATTTCCCCCTTTGAAGAAAGATGTTTAGTAGGTTTTCTCCCCAGAGGGCTGCGTAGTCAAGAGGTAGAAGAAACTGCCTGGAACCTGTTTGAAATACATGGACTTCATATGGGCTGCAGTGGAAGGGCCAGGGAAGTGCCAAGTCAGTCTAGGGAACTGGTAACTTGTGACACTGTCCTAATTTTATTTTTAGGTTACTCTGCATCTGGAAAACTGTCTTGGCTTTGGATCTTCTGCTTAGTCTCTCTCTCAATAAAATACAGGCAGATGCTCTAATTTACTTACTGAACTGACCTTTATACTTTCTCTTCTGGCTTCCTTCCCCAGGAAAGCATCATCCTTTCATATACTATAGTACTGTCGCCTTTCCACCTTTATAAATGCCTACCTGAATTGATCACCCAGTATTTCAGGAATATGTGACCAGAGGGTATATTAATCTTAAATTTCCTCTTTAGCACAGGTGAAGAAACTGTATCTTCCTTTTCCCCTATCACGTTTTTTTAGGTCTTGATTGTCTACATCAACTGCTTCACAAAGAAGAGATGGCTCTGGATTGCTGATCTGGAATTAAGTATCTGGGTGCCACAATATCAAAATAGTTCTGGCAACTGAATTTTAATCTCCAGGACATAGGAATGTTTTTTTTTCGTGTTTAAAGTTTTGTTCTGTTCTGTGTTACTAGTTATGGCATGTTTCAAAAAGATCAGTTGCATGTAAATTAAGCAAGGCTCTCTTAAAACGTGTGGCAAGTTTGATTCCAACTTGCCAAAGTGCAAATCAAAGGAAGATCAAAATACAAAAAAAAATTGTCAGGCTGTTTAAGAACAATAGGCTATCTTTTGTTTTTGTTCAGTCTTACCAGGTTCTCATTTTAGCTTATTTTGTAACTGATTGATAGATGGTGATAACTTCATGCTTCTTTAACAGTTACAGAAACAAAACCTCATTTTTAGAATGACTGCTTATAAAATAGATTTATTGGGTGAGTCAACAGTGTTTAAGGTCACCTCTAGGAAACCCACACCAGGAAAAAAAACAAAATGTAATGAATCTCAGAAATAGATGTGAAATCTTGGCAGCTAGGAAAATAGGATGGGGAAGGAGCTTGGGATGGCTTTGTACATACAAGCATTCCATCCAAGTAGAGATCTAAAAAGTGCAAAGCTACAAGGGGTGCAAGGAGTTGAGTGATACAGAGTTGCTGCTTTGAGCTTATTGAAAATGCTTCAGAATGCTTCTGGAAATAATGGGTTCTGTGGAAATAATGAGTGGAGATATTTGCCCCCCACCTGTGTGGCAAAAGCACTTCTGTTCAAAGTTGAGTTTGTGTTGCGTGCTGTGAGAAACATCTCTAGAAATTTTCAAAGGGTTTAGAACTGGGAATGGAGAGTAACTGTTATCTCCATGTTGCTATTGCTCCTGAGAGGTGCTTGCTTTTGGGGAATTTTGTTGGGGGGCAGAAGTGTGTTTCATCTTTCTTTCTCCTGCATTTCACACCTGCAGTTACTTCTGGTTTGTATTAGAATTAGAGTGCTTTTCAGTTGTCAAGCATTCAGCTGTTACCTCACTTTAATAGCTGACTGAATCTTTTTCTGCATTGCAGAAGATGTGTAACTGCTGTTCCAAAGGAAACGGCAGCATAAAGTTGTACTGAATGTGAGAAGAAAGTAGAATTAGATTAAGTTCATCAAGGTGAGACTTACGAAGGTGATTGGAGTTAACTTGATTGACTGGATGGAGATAGACTCTGCCTACTCCTTGATATGTAAAAAGTCACCAAACCTCAGAAATAGATCCCCTTCCTTCATGCCGTGAACATCATGCAGTTGTATTTGGTCGCATCTTGAAGAACGTATAGGAAGCTTGGTAGGAAGCCCATATTTGGATTACATACAAAAAAATAAATTGTTTTGATGACCTGATTTCAGTCAAAATTTAACCTTGCATGTTGCAGGAATATGATCGTGTAGGCATAATTTACACTAGCGTATAGTAAAACTCTAGAACGTTGCAGATATTCTACATGTCAGTGTATATACCATCATACCCTAGCAGCTTGATTTGATCCAGGCAATTTGCTTTAATTGTTTACAAAACTTTTAAGTAGTCTTTCAAGGGATTCCAGTAAACCATTTTCATAGTCCAGCCAACAGGGGAGTTTGAGGATGTTTAAAGCCAGTGTTTGTTAGTGCCTTTTAACTAGAAGATTTGTAATGATAGGGTTGGTTTAACATCTGGAAGTCTTTGTCAGACACTTGTAAACACAGACAGCTTTATTTATTTAAAGCCTGATGACCAGCTGGTTTGTGCAGTCTTTGTATTGGCCAGATGAAGTACCAAGATGAGCCAGGAACAGAGACGAGAGTTACCAAAGTGGCTTATATCCTAGTTTGACAGAAATTTAATTGGCAGTAAATGGTTTTGTAAGTAGAAGTGGTCTCAGCTGCCTTTTCTGCCTTTGCACACTGTGTTTTGCAGCAGGTGAATGTGTGATTGTTAGGCTGTGTGGTGAATCAGATGATGGAGCTCATGTGGAATGAGATAAATCTTTGGTCTTCTTCTTGGTTATCTTCACTTAGATCACATCCTGTTGTGGATTAGTACATGGCTGCACAAACACTTGTAGACATGAAAAAGAAGCATGACCAGTTTCTTGGAGCAGTGCTGATGTACATCAGTCTGTAGTGTTCTTGAACTCCAACTTGAGATGGAGCAAGACTACTTGGTTTTATCGTTTATTAGCAGTAGTATATACTGTTAAAAGGTAATGCAGGCTGCCAGGGGTCATGTGCAAGAGGTAAAAGTAATTTTAAAGCTGTGTTTTGAATCCTGTATTGAAACAAATGTTTGATTTCAGTCCTGACTGAAGAGCTGATGTTGTTAGATGTCTTGGGCAGTAGTATTTTTTCACCAGTGTGAAGGAAACCATAGGCTTAATTGTTAGGGGTTACTTCTTTCCTGATTGTTTTCTGTTCAGGATTTCCACAGACAGTGAAGAGAATTCCTTTTTCCAAGGGAGACATTCAAATGAACTGATCACTTCATGGCTCATAAACAACTATTTTGAGAAATCGTTTATTTTTGTAGTAATGACCGGATATTGTAAATATGGCTTAAAACTCAGAGTTTAAAAATATTAAAGAATATAAGAAAGATTTGTAAATTAGTATTTATATACATGCCCCAGAATCTTCTAAGTTTATTCTTTGCAGAGCAGGGAACTCCATCCTTTCTCCTTCCCTTTCTTCATTTTCTGCCAACCTTCTCTTTTCCAAAAACAGTGATGGAGACAAGATATTAAGTTACATGTTTAAATTAGATAATTACCTCATTTTATGAACTTCTGAAGAGTTTGAAAGCTTAGATTCATATTTAATAGACACATAATGCCCTTTATAGTGTAACTACATATATTCCTGTTCTCAGCAACTTTTGGATAAACACACAGAAAATAAATCTCATAACATGAGAGGAGAGATAAATAATGTATTTTCCTGATGCTTGCATCATCTTAAAAGAAAGATTGGTTTGTATTTATGTTAGATTAAAAAATAAAAAAGTCACAATTTACCAAATATGCAATATTAATTTGTTTATCAGAGGAAAGTGTTTCTGTGTATCAGATATGTATTTTTAACTTTCTGTTCATGGCTAATTTTAACTACAAAAATAAAACCAATAATACTTGCTGTAGAAACATCTGTTACAATGGGCTAGTTAATTGTTCAGGTTGGTTTGGTTAGTTTGGTTTGGTTTGGTTTTTTTTTCAGTTTTAATTGCTGTCATTTGTAGCAAAGGAGAGTAATTGCCGTGAACTTTGTCCCTGAGCATTTGTTTGCTTTTCCAGCTTTCTTTTTCTGATGAACTGGCTTTTCTGAATAGTATTGCCAAACTTTTAGAAGTTTCTTGTTGAGGTAAATGTACACATCTATGTATATAAATTGCTTTACAGTTATACTTGCATTTAATATATGAAAAGATCTTAGCAAATTTGAGGGTATACAATGCATATATCACATCCCTTTGTCTAGTGTAGAAAACAAGCATCCAAGATCCAGAGATTGCTTTGTAGAGGAGTGAGTGCTTCACTAGACTGCAATGTCACGTGCAAATTCTCCCTTTCTTGTGAATTCTGCCTTTCACCATAAGCAAAGGCTTACGTTCACCAGGAAGCATGGCCATAACCTTAAGGTTTATTAATTTTCATGAAAAGAAGAGTTTTAAACGATAAGAACTAAGGCAGCTTAGAGCCCAGAGTTCCTGCTTTGTTGGCAAGAGTTGTATCTACAGTTAGGTGAAATTTTGACCCAGTCAGCTACGTGTCTCTCTTTCTCCATCCAAGCTTAAAAAGAGACTGGGACCACTCGTCTATGGCCAGTAGGACTACCAGGATGTTTCTGAGAACATCTCCACTGAGAGCTGTGACTGGTATTGCTGATATGGCATTTCAGTTTGCATATGTAGTGTACATGTATCTTAATGTATTAGATGAAACCACTTGAATCTCTTCAATGTACGTCAGAGTCAAATCACCTTGTCAGTCATTTCTGACTATCTTAAAACTAAAAATCAAACCATTACAGTCCTCTGCATGTAAAAGTTCAGATACATAAGTCCCCAGATAACAGTTAGAGAGGGCAGAATGAAATTCTCTGGAGCTGCCAGATATTAGGTATATGTTTATGTTTAAACTCACTAAGCTGTGAGAAGAATGTAGCTGGAAAACTCTGACGAGCAGAGCAGAAGCACAGAATGGTTCAAGCTGGAAGGGGTCTCCAGAAGTCTTTAGTCCAACCCGTGTGGACAGAGAAGAGTCAA